TATAGAAAGCCTGCAGCATCCCCAGGAGGTGGGGGTGACCCCTCCCACTGTAGAAAGCCTGCAGCATCCCCAGGAGGTGGGGGTGACCCTCTCCCATTATAGAAAGCCTGCAGCATCCCCAGGAGGTGGGGGCGACCCCTCCCACTGTAGAAAGCCTGCAGCAGCCCCAGGAGGTGGGGGTGACCCCCTCCCATTATAGGAAAGCCTGCAGCACCCCCAGGAGGTGGGGGTGACCCTCTCCCATTATAGAAAGTCTGCAGCATCCTCAAGGAGGTGGGGGTGACTGCTTAACTGCATACTTAGGACCTGAGACTTTCCCAGGTACTTTGTGTATGCACATGTATGCTTATTGGGGTCCACCCTGATAAACTCTGCCCCACTATGTCCATGGCAATCAATCAAAAAAGAAAACATTTAGAAAAAAGTTGTATTGATGCCTTTGCTTTTACACCCCATTCATTTCTGGATATTGCCAACTCCTCCTCCCCCTGAAGCCCTGCCTTGTAATGAAGAAAAACAGTCAAGCAGAAACAGTGACTCCAGTGACCATGACGGACAACAGTCTGTCCTTGTAGTCCCCACATTTTTGCAGAAAGTAGAGTTACATCCCATTATTTGCCCTCTGAGGTCATTCTCAGGATGTTTTACAATTACACAGAGTTTGGCTTCTTTTTCATTTACGTCGTTGGAGTCGTGTAGATTGTTCTGTTGGGTCTGCTTATCTCACTCTGCATCAGTTCATACAAATCCTTCTAGATGCCTCTGAATTCCTCTTATTTGGCATTTCCTGCTGCATGAAAATATTCCATTGCTTTCATATATCATAGTTTCTTTAGCCATCCCCTGATTTCTGGGCACACACTTTGTTCTAACACTTAGTGCTTTAGTATTTGCAAAACAACTTACATTTTTTTTATTGATCCTCACACCAATCCCATGAAGTAAATGCTATTATTATCCCCATTGGACGGAATAACATACTGAAGTTTAGAGGGTAAAATGAATTACCTATATTCACATTGCTAGTAAATATTGGAGGCGGGATTTGAATCCTGGTCTTTCTGGGGATAACAGAAGTATAAGACATATTTCGAACCATAAAATCACCGAATTTCAGAATTGAATCCCCTCCCTTATGTCCCCAACAGGGGGTCATATGGCATTGGATAGAAAACCTCCAATGGGGGGAAAAGAGACAGCTCATTCCACTTTTGGAAAGTTCTCTCGGGGTAGCAAGTTCTTCCTAAAGTCAAGCTAAAATCTATCTTTCAGAGACTTCTCCAACCCCCTGCTCCTGGTTCTGTCATCTGGTGCCAAGCAGAGCAAGCCCCATCCCTCTTCCTCAGGACATCCTTTTAAATACTTGAAGGAAGCTATTACAGCCCTTCAAAGTCTTTTCTTGTTCAGGCTAAATAGCCAGTCAATCACCCGAGCCTAGGGCATGAGGTTGGCAAAACAAATGTGGCAGTAGATGGAGGGAGAAAGCCCATCCCATTGATGAGTTAGACAGTAATAATAACCCACATGTATACCACTTTGAAAGGCACTTTTCTCATAGCTACCCTAGAAGGAAGGGAGGGAAGGACATGGGGTCCTTCCTAAACCCCTCAATTATTAGTACTCTCTCCCTCTTGTAACTACTTTTTATTAATTCATATATATATGTATACATACATATATACATACATACATGCACATGTATACATATATATAAATAGAAGATATATATTTATATAGATATAGCTTTATAGCTACATAGATATATCTTCTACACTTGTGTAAATATTGTATTCCTTCCCCTCCCCCAATAAAATACAAGCTCCCTGAAGTCAGGTATTGTTTGGGTGTCTTTGTATCTCTGGTACCTAGTATAATGCACTTAGCAGGCAAGTGGATCCCTATTTTACAAATGAGGAAACTGAGGCTCAGGGAAGGTTAGTGACTAACCTAAAATCACATTGTCTTAGAGCAGGAACTTGAACCCAAGTCTTCTGACCCTAGGTCAGTAGTCCTGCCCCTATGCCTCTTCCCGTTGCAAGACTTGGGTTCGTTTCCATTTATTATATGTAATGATTTAACATTTATACTACAATGAAAATAAAAAAGATCTTTCATTGTCCAAAATGGGGCATGAATGCCATGAGTTTTGCTGAGGACAGATATGCGTAAGAAAGGCAAGAATTTGGGCTAAGTGGATGGAGAATAATGATTTTTATTTACCTCCTTAGCTTATTTTTTATTCTGACTACAAATTTCATTTGAACTGAAGATTTAGGAACTATCTAACTCCAAGTGAAATGATTGTCTAGAACAGAGGACTGCGATATAGAATTTGACAAGAAAAGATTTGCTCTTAACCTTGGGGCACTCTGGACCAAAGCACTATCAGCCTGCCTTTCCTTATCAGGGAGAGGTTCTAGTCTCGCCACTACCCTAGAATCCGAGAACTGAGATGGACGGCAAGTAGACTGAAAGAGATGAATCCCATAAATGGTGGCAAGGAACAGTGCCCAGCAGAGACCACCACAACCAGCAGCCACCATTGGGCTAGGGTAGAGCAGAGAATCAGTGTCCAGTGAGGCCGCCTCCCTGGCAGTCCCCAGGAGTCACCACAGGACCAATGGAGGAATGTATTCAGTGGAGATGCCACATGGGGTCGGGGCAGGGGGGACAGCGTAGGTTGAATAAGGCCAAGGAACCAGAAGATGTGACCGGAAGACATCGATTTTTCTGAAGAGTCAGAGGCATGACTTAGCCGTTCACACAGGTGCCCTGGTCATACCTATCCCCTAAATGCAGGGGTGTGCTGGAGCCGGTTCAAACTGGCTTTCAAGAGCCAGTTGCTAAATTTTCTGTGTCCAAGCATTTCCAACTCAGAAATCAGGTGTAAGGAGGAACAGTGCTGACATACTCAGCCCTGGCCAGACCACACCTCCGGCATTGTGCTCAGTTCTGAGGACCCTAGTTGATGAAGGACCCCACTAATCTGGAGGACATTCACCGGAGGGCAGTCAGTATGGTGAAAGACCTTGAGCTATTTCCACAGCATCCTATGGATCACTTGAAGGAGCGAGGGGAAGAGAAGAAAAGATCCAGAGGGGATAGGATAGCTGACTTCCAATATTTGAAAGACCGTCATGTGAGAGACAGGAATTAGACTTGTTTTGTTTGAGACCAGACGGAAGAACCAGGAGTACTGGATAGCATGGTATCGTGGAACGAGCTCTAGAGATTTGGGACCTGGGTTCAAATCCTACCTCCGATGCCTATTACTTTGTGACCTTGAATGAGTCACTTATCTTTTCTTAGTATCAGTTTCTTTGTCTGTAAAATGGGAGGATTGTACTATATAACATTTAAGGTCCCTTTCAGCTCCAAATCTCTGATCCTCTAAGTTTTAAGAGGAACTTAAAGAGGGACTTGGAGGTAGGCTAGAAATTCTGACCAATTAGAGCTGTCCAAAAGTGGAATAGAGATATCTCAGGATGGAGTGGGTTCTTCCTCATTGGAGGTCTTCAGGCCAGGCCTGATGGCCCGTTGTTGGGTGTGTTCTAGTGGGATTCCATTTTGGGTATGGGTCTATCTGAATGGTCACTGAGGTTCATTCCAACACTGAAATTCTTTCATTCCGTGTTTTCCTAGGCTGGTTTGGTTCCAGCTAAAACCCTTGATTTCAGCTCGAGACCAACCAGGTTAATGTTTCCTTAAGGAGTCCAGCCCAGGCCTGAAAGCTTCCCAGTCCTAAAGGCCCCAAGAATACTGAACTCCAGCAGGCAGCAAGAATTTATTAAGCCCTTCCACTGTGCCAGGCACCATTTCCAGAACATGTTGGGAGTTTATTTGGGCTGTTGTTCAGTGTGCCCAGAGACAGAGGTCCAGTTTGGTCTGAGATACCCTATGATCACCCCAGAACTCCTGGGGCTTGTCCCATTGGAGTTTTTCCATGTTTTAAATTATCTCTTTGGATTCTTCTAGACTGTAGATGATCAGGGTCCAGAATTGACCTTGACTCCTCTAGCAAATCTGGAAAGGCTCCCCTTTTACCAAGGAGAAAACTGAGTCTCAGAGAGTGACTTGTTCATGGCCACCTAACTTGAAAATGAGGAAGCTGGGATTTGAACGCCAGTCTCCTGCCTTCCCATGTAGAGCTCTTTTTACTGAGGCTTGGCTCACACAAGGATGGACTCGGGACCTGGCTTAGAAACTACTGGCTCTCAGCAAACAGCAGTTCAGTTTTGGTTTGAAACCAGCCAAATCAAGGTGAGTCCGAAACATTCCATCTTTCACTTCTAAAGGACTCTGAGTTTATGCTGGAAAAATAGCCACAGGCAGCCCTCCATCTTGGAGAGTCTGGAGAGATGAGGGGCTGGAGAGCTTAGCCTGTGGGGGCCTCTTGGGGAAGGGAGTCTTGAGTTTCCATGCGTCTTCCCTTACCTTCCACAGGCCATCGCCCTCTTGGCGTGGGAAGCCGGTCTACTGGGCAAACAAGTCTTTGGCTTTTTGTTTGTGCAGAAAAGAGTTAGGTGTTTTTGGTTCTGCCCCAAAACAGCACAAACTGGCCTGGAACATGAGGTCACAGAGCCCTTATTAAAGCTAAAGAAGAAGGTGACTGACTACTAAAAGACAAATGGAGAGGGCTGGCCCGGCAAGCATCCAGAGCTATGGTAGGGCTGTTGTGACAGACCCCCATGGTTAAAGAAGGGAAGGGAAGAACAAGCCTTACAGTGCAATGTTAGGTGGTGCAATGGTTAGTGTGCTGGGCTTGGAGTCAGGAAGATGTGAGT